CTTTTAAAAAAGGCCACTCTATTTATCGGCCTAACATTAGCCTATATTCTGTGCTATTACACGAAAATTATTTAGGCGGAAAATTTTGGTTCACGTACACTTCATTCTTGATTATGAAGCTCATTTAGCACCGACGTTTGTCATTCTTTTCACGTTTTTAACATGTTTGGGTTGACATTTACGGAGACAAAGTAAAAGAACACGTGCGAAACATCCCAAAGTTTCTTGTTCCAATATTTAACGAGTACTCGACCCCATCAATACTCGGGGATTATAAGGCTTTTATTTTACGGTAGCCTATGTACACATTCTAATGGTTGGGGAAGAAGAGTAAAATGATGGATGCTCACAAGATTGAAATAATATCTAACATCATAACGAAACTGTTGTATCATCGTGTTATAGCAACTAAGAGCGTGTTTATCAATTTTTTATTTTTTTGTTAACTGATGTTAGTTTTTAAAAACTTAGTATAGTTACTTATTAGTGGGATTATAAAATACAATGATTAAAATTGATTTGATGTAAAAATAGAAGACAGGTGATTGAAAATGATAAATAGTTAAAATTATGTGAGTGGTTGAATAGTAAATTAAAATTGATATTATGTGTATAGAACTGTTAAAATATGCTTAAGCCCGCGGGCAGGCTCGGCCCGAGAGCCAAAGGGGTGGGTTGGCCTGTCAACTATTAAAAAACAATAAGAGACCAAATATTGGTATATTTCTCTTTAACTTCTCTCCTCATTTTCCAGACTTTCCTAACTTCAAAATTTGGGCCGAATGACTTAAACATCTCGGCCCACTGCCAACTATAATACAGAAGATTCTAGGAGTTGCGACCCCACACCAAATACAGAAGCCTAAGGGCATCTGTTAGACAGCGAAAAAGTAGATACGTGTATCGTCTATATATTATTTGGGCATTACTATTTACCGTCTCTTTTGGACATTTTTGCCCCTGACATTTTTTTCTAAAAAGTTAAAAAAAAAAATTGTCCGACCGGCGAAACCGGACGGCTTTTATGCCGTCCGAACCAGCCGGCCGAACGGGCTAAAAGCCGTCCGGTTTCGCCGGCCGGACGGTTTTTCTTTTTTTTCTTTAAAGTTTTTGAAAAAAAATGACAGAGGCAAAATTGTTCAAAGGGGCGGTGAATAGTACTACTCTCTTTGTATTATCCTTGCACAGTTGCACTTAAGATGAAGTTTGACTACGGACTTTACATAAATTGTCCACATGGTAGAGCTTGACTTTTTATTCGTCTTTTGTTCATTTTATCATCACTACACAATATTAAATTAAATTATTATGTTATACGTAACTATTATTGTGTGGTTTTGATGGCGGAGTTATCACGCCAGCTGATTGCATTGTCCAATTGTGCCGACACGGTTTAACATGACCTGACCCAAATAGACCCGACCCGAATAGACCCGGTTAGACCAGCAAATAACTATTTATATTTATGTTTTGATTATTCTTTTCCATCTTCAAAAGAAAAGGATAACAAGAAAACAAATATTGTTTTCTCCAAACTAGTAAGGTATTCGTGTGATGTACAAGATCATTTATTATCTATTTATTTTTTAAAAGGTATTTTTGAATACAAAAATTTCATGAAAAGGAATTTTACATATTATTAAACACTTCTTTATGTACAACATTATTGATTTGATTCTTTGGCACGTAAAGTATTACATAGTTGTTCGAATTTATCAATGATGAACCGCTTTTGTTACCAAAAAATGTGGACACAATTTTAAATGTACATCCCGACCAAATATCAGCTTTATTTTAAAATAAAAATTGCATATGGCTTTATCCAATTTACACAATTTTTTGAAAGAAAAAATTATTCAATAAGATTGGAAGAATTGGTTAATAATTATACAATTATTTGCTTTTGTATCCAATTTGCACGATTTTTAAATTAATTTGTATTTAGAATTATTTTCATAAATAATTGACACATTTTGCATAAAAATCTCCAAATTTGTTACCAAGAAAGATATGATTTAAATTTTGGTAAAAAAATAAAATCTGATACGAAAAAAATAGAATTCAATTTTTGCCATAAGAATCTCCAAATTTGTTACCTAAAAAATAGGATTTAGATTTTGTTACTAAAGATTCACATGTGTTTTTTTTAACATTCCATTAATAGTAAGTCAAACGTTATATTTATTAGGTCAAACTTTCTATTAATGTATTTTTCCAACAACCTCTTTATATATATATATATATATAGATTAAAGTGAGATGTTGGAATCTTTTTGGAAAACTTTAATTGAAAAGATAGATTTAAAGGTTGTGGAAATTGAATGTGATAGATTTTTAAACAATCAAAAATTAAGAGATACAAACTAATAATAAATCAATGTTATAGAAATAAATAAATAATAAATTATTGGTTCATACCGAATGACGGATAGATATATGAGATGGGTAAGTACTATTTTAGTTGTGATTTAATAGGTGATAATAATTTGTTTTTATTTTTAAAGTGGTCTGATGAGATTTGATAGAAAAATAAAATGTAAAATTAATCGAAAATGTTCTATACTAATGCAATTCAACGAAAAAAAAAAATTAATCAACAAGATGAAAGTGGGGTTGACCCCAAAAACTAGTCCCAAAAATTTCAGGATACTATGGGATGACAATTATTGGTGTATTATAGGGTTAGGTTTGGTAAACTTTATAATGCAAAAGTGGGTTTCATGACAGAATTCTAATTGATTTTGTATTAAAATTTCCATAAGAAGCCAAACTAGCAATAAATAAATTATCACATTTTACCATCAACAAAAAAATAACATTTGAGCTATAAAAAGAAAAAAAAAAATTCCACTATAAAAAGAACCATTATATATTCCCAAATTTTTATTAACATTATATTCCATTGATTGTTATTTTATTACTTATATACTACATTAACTTCTAGTTATTATTATTTTATTTGTTATTATTTCACAATATAAAAAATTAAACTTCAATCGGAGAGGAGCAACTCATTTTTTATTCATATTGGGCTACTTGTAGCCCAAAACCGATCGGGCTCGTATGAACATCTTTTTGGTTTTTTGGTACTGTATCCTTCTGTTCGGAACATTTGGCCCAATATCTTTTTACTTCAAGAACAAGGCCCATATCCTATGACGATATCAAATAAATTAAAAGTAAGGCTGTAAATGAACCGAGTTTGAGTCGTTATATAAATGAGCCAAAAACCGAATTCGAGCTCTGACTCATTAATGCCTCGAGCTCAAACTTAACGAACCGATCTTAAGCTTTAATTAGACGAACTATAAAAAAATTAAATAGATATTACTTTTCGAGCCTTATCACGTGTCGAGCTCGGCTCGTTAACCAAACGAGTTTTGAATAAGCTCGAGCTCGACTCGCTAAGGCCTCGAATTCGAGCCAAACTTGAGCCTTAATAAGTCGAGTCGAGCCAGACTCATTCAATGTAACAACACTAATTAAAAAGTCACCTAATTTAGAGGAAATGTCCCCTGATGTAGCTATATAAAGTCTCGAGTCAAATTCGAGTATTAGGAATTCAAGCTCGACTCAATTTAAGTCCCACTGTAATGCACAAAATCAATATGAAACAAATGTATGTAGACTAAATAAATTGAAACATAATACACAAAATTTCGTGTGAGACAACATAATTATTAGACTACGACCGTCGTAGTGAACAAATAAAAATATAGTAGTAATATAAAATTTCATACTTTCATTCATTCATTGTTTATAAATATATGCATATTTATAAACAAAAATATTATAAATTAGATTGGGTATAGAATAGTATTAACTATTGACTTCATATTGACTTCATATTACAGAAAATGGCAAATTGGCATTTGGCAATATGCTTTAGCTAGCCCCGATTTTTCTTTTATTTTTGGTTTTCTTACGTCTCAATGAAGGAGTATCATGTAAAAACTTGCAGTATAGTACAAGTCACTGTTTCATCCTTGCTTTCTGCATTTTTCATCTCCTTTTTTCTTGTCATTTTCCCTTTTCCCTTACTGTGTAATTCGATTCGATTTTTCCCGTCCATTAGTGGAGTTTAGCGAAAAAAAACGAAGAAAAACAAAAAAAATAAAGTGAGAATTTAGGAAAATGGGAAGGGTGTTTGCGTTGACTCTCGAAGGCTTGATCTACAGCTGCAAGCACTGCGGAACCCATCTCGCTCACAGTGACGACATTGTTTCCAAGGTTCCTGCATCATTCTCGTTTCGATTCTCGTCAATCATCCATTTTTTTGTCCATTTTGTTTTCGAATCAATGTGTTTGATCCTCAATTTGGGGGTAATGTTATGTTATCGGGTATCAGTAGCTGTAGTTGGAACTTTTTTTTTTTTTTCATGTTTTCCTCTGGTAAATTTTCTTTATTGGATTAAGAATGTCCCTTTAGAATGGAACTTATGCGTTACGAATCTTGTTTGAATAGGGATATCTGTTTTATATTCTGTGGATCAGTTTGCATTAGAGATAATCTTAGGGTTGTTGTGTTTCAATATTACAATTTACTCGTTTACCTTTTCGACATGGATGTTTGATTAATGATTTCTTCAATCCAGTTTAGTTCTTTATTTTTTAGCTGGCTAGATGATTATGGTTCTTTCTGGAACACGCATAAATGATTCTTTTAATGTTAATGATTGAGTTGATTATTGATTTACTGTGGGTTTTAGTTAGTTTAGCTAGTTATAACATCAATATCTAGTTAGTTTCACCTTCTTTGGATAATTGTTGTTCATCAATGGCATTCTTGTTTGCTGTTGGCATGAATGAATATCAGGCTCGATAGTTTCTTTTTACCGCAAAAATATTGTTTGCAAAATTAAATTGAAGTCTCAACATTGTTTGTCAATGAGTAAATACTACATCAAATCTTTTGAAAGGGCCTCGCGTAATGAACGAATAACTGAGAACCCAATGGCTTCACCTTAGATTGCACATTTATTTGTGGATTCATGCTTTCACTTGATATATGTCGAAGGTTCTATTGATTGTTATTATATTCCATGAATAAGTTTTAGCTTGTTGAAGATTTGTTTTATCCCAATCAAATTTATTTTTTACTTGATAATTTTGTTCCTTTCTGGTTTCAGTCTTTCCACTGCAGACATGGGAAGGCTTATCTCTTCAGCAATGTGTAAGNCCAGATCAAAAATTGCTTGTATGTATCTCTGTCTTCCTCATGTCTTTCTATTCATTAATGGTAAAGAAGGTATTGAGTGAGATCAAATGCCTGTGAAGAGGGTAAATGTATGACAAAGAAAACCCTGAGGGTATTTATTCTAATTTTTTGAAAATAACCTGGATTTTTTAAAGGAATTGGGTGAATCCTTAAGGGTACTTCCTTTAGTTAATCATTACATTTGTTATGTAGTGTGTCTTTGACATATTAAAGCTTTGTTGTTAGTCCCTTGAAAATTGCTCATTAATACTCATATCATGTTATGACATGATATTTTCATGCTCGAGCACCATCTTAAGACTTGAATACACAGGCAAAATTTAAATAAAAGATGGCATGTACTAGGAGATATCCTGAATACTGAAAATTTATTAAATCTCTGTATTCCTCTACTGTGCTGAATAAAGCAACAGAAAAGAAAATTTGTAGTATTTGAAGTGTGCATAGTCTGAAAATTGCAACGTTTTTTGTTTATTTTCCTCTTTTAGAGTAAATGTAACACTCGGGGAGAAAGAAGAGAGGTTGATGATGACTGGATCACACATAGTGGCAGATATATTCTGTGTTCGGTGTGGTTCGATTGTCGGATGGAAATATGTAAGATCCACGTGATAGAATAAGAACAAAAAATAAAAAATAAATAAATAAAACAAAGTTAGATACTCGTGCATTATGCTCGTGCAGTTGTAATAATTCGTGTGTCCATCTCCAGGAAGTTGCTCATGAGAAGAGCCAAAAGTACAAGGAAGGGAAATCTGTTCTCGAGCGGTCTGTGTGGTTCTTTTAATGTTGCAACATATGAAGGATTAATTACAAGGACCCCTTCTTGTTTAGCCTAACACCAAGAGGAAAATAATTGGGTTATGTTTCAAAAATACAAATACTATTTTAAGATTTGTGTCTACAAATAGAATGACTACTAAGATCTGATTTATCCATAAGTGTCTGGTTCTGAAAGATAACTGTGAGTTTTCTGTACTTAGGCTAAGCTCAAGGGGTGGAATTTGTAATTTATCCCAAATTCTCAATCTATTTAAATAAGTAAACGAGCATGAAAGGTTTTACCTGTTTCTGAGGTTTGATTATTTTGTGTTGAACAGATTTAAGATTTCTGGACCAGATGGAAGCAGCTATTGGGCCAGCCATGAAGAGAGTAATGGGGTCAATAATGAGGGTGATCCTGGTATATTTTAACCTTTAAATTCAAATATATATACATATATATTATAACAATAATAATAATAAAATAAAATAATAGCCTTTTGCCCCCAATTGTACATTCTTCTGTCAAGTTTTCTGCTTCAACTGCTTCAAACTCACTTTCTAATGGGTTTTTCAAAAATTATAGCCTTTAGTTTGTTGTTTGTATGATGTAAAATGTGTGTAGTGTAATTTATATAGAGCTAATATGTTTGATTGTGCACTGGTGAATCTATGAAATAGTGTGAAATTCGGCATCTATTAATCTTTTGGCATCAGTACTCAGTAGAAGTGTGTATGGTAAGCACCGTCCATACGTTAATTCATAGCTTATTTAAATAGTTTATATAATTTTCTTGTATTCAAACAAATTTGTTTGGTAGAATGAGTGTTTTTTTTAAAAAAAATCTCAATCTTATCTCATAAATTTGTTTTTGTAGCTTTCCACTAAAGTCAGTTGAAATTTTTATTTTAATTGACTTATTTGGTATAAATTAACGTATCAGTTTAAGCTAACTTTTCAGTTAAATTTATCACACCCTAAATTGCGTGAGCCGATTCATTCAGCATGGGGAAAGGAATGAAAATGTTTATAATTAATAAACAATATTGGTATTGATTAAATGAAATGAATGAAAAATACAAATAAATAATAAATGAAGGGGAATAAAAAAATGAAAATATCAAAATAAATAATAAAACAAATGAAACGAACAAATGGAACAATCTCAGGCCACTTAATTGCATAATTGCTACTAACCCTATAGGCTATCGCAATTAGCAAGACAGAGGCATTTTTTTTATTTTTATTTTTTCTTGATCTGAGGCAATATATTAATTATTTTTCATTAAGCACAAGTCAGAGTCACGCTCAATATATATATAGAGAGAAATGTTATAGGTACATAATACTACACATAGAGGTGTATATAACACTCACAGTTCCTACCAAAAATAAAAAATCAAGTGAATCTCACTCTATGTGAGTGTTATGTACACCTATGTACATTTATTATGTACTTGTAGCATTTTTCATATATACTAGTTTTACCCCGTGCATTTGCACGAAAAGAGATATAATAGAAGAGAAAATAATTAAAAATATAGAATAAAACAAAAATCATAATTTAATAAATTAGAAAAAAAAATTTAAAAAAGTGAATCTAAAAATTATTAAACACTTCTTTATATACAACATTCGTGGTTTTCCTGTCGTCAGAATCCCATCACCACAAATTATTATCATTAAACCCCTTCGACTCGTGACTCTGGGATTTTATTTTTTAAAATATTTGATGCATCTTTGTAATATCCGAAAAAATATTTTTTTATTATTGTATGATTGTAATAGAAAATAGAGATATTTGTAGTCATTCTTAATTAGTTGTGACATATGTATTTATATAATACCAATAGATATATAGTATCAAAATAAAAACAAAAATATTTTGTATTTCAGGACAAAAATACGTTATACAAATGGGCACATTCCAAAATGGAAATTGTCAATAAATAGTGTAATTGAAAGTTACATATTTTTATTAAATGGTAAACATGTTTTTATTAAATGAACATGTATTTTTATTAAATGAACTCATTATTATTAATTGTTGGCTGAATAAATTTTTTTGAACATTGGCAGCAATTATATGTATAGAGATGTACTCCAATCCATAGATCTTATTCTTGAAACAATTGCGAACTAACTTCAATTTGTTGTCTTGTTCTTGCTTTTTGCCAAAAGAAAAAAATATCGAAGTGGAATGCCATATCAAATGGGACGAAATTTGGGATGAGTTTCTTTTTAATGTGCTGGGGCTATGCGAATTGTAATTGCAATGTGGTTTTGTCTCTTATTTTTTAATCTATTTATAAGCATCTCTAAATATTTCATTAATTATATAATATAAATGCTCAATAATCAAGATTGAGGATTGATTTTTTTTGCATTTGATAAATTTGATTTTTTTTTCATTTGTCCTGCCGAATGTTTTCAAAGTGAGAAAATACAATTGGAGTATAATTAAAATAAAAAATAAACAAATTTAAAAATGGGCCGACATCAATTAGCATAACTTTGGGTGAATGAAAACGTATTGCAGAAAGAATAATCATATTCATTAATATTGAATTATCAAATAATGTGCAACTGAAAAAAAAAAATAGATATGATATAGGCTGTTGATTTTATGAGTATGCGGACTATGATTCATTAATATTGAATTATCAAATAATTTGCATTATCATCGTATGTGTAACTGTAAGTAAAATTATATGTCATAATCGGTTGTCATATTATTTTGTTATTGAAAATAATTGTTTGTAATAATATCTCATTACTAATATATGTCATTATTTGCAAGAAATATTGACCAGAATACTGTAGGATGTAATATTATATGGAAGATTTCGTGATTTATTGAATTTTTTAGAATGATATATAAATTTAATGTTATTTGTTGAGAAATTTACTATTATTATTATTATTATTATTATTATTATTATTGTTATTATTATTATTATTATTATCATTATTATTATTATTATTATTATTATCATCATCATCATCATTATTATTATTATTATCATTATTATTATTATATTATTATTATTATATATGTTACAGAAAATAAAAAAAAATTGATACATAATAGTTAAATTGTAAATCTATGTTTTTCAACAATAAGAAAAATGTTTTAATGTTTGTACACTTATTTAAAAAAAAATATTTTCTTAACAAATTAAATAATGCCATGTCATTGGTCTAACAATGTCACCATAAAAGTACAAAGAAAAACGTTACTTTTGTATTAAGTAAAAAGAAAACTTACCATGTTCGGTCCAAAATTAGTTTAGGCGGGAAAAGTAGGCTATCCGCATTAATTGGATAGCCTACAATTATATATATATATATATCTATATCTATATCTATATCTATATCTATATATATATAAAGAGGTTGTTGGAAAAATACATTAATAGAAAATTTGACCAAATAAATATAATGTTTGACTTACTATTAATGGAAATTTAAAAAAAGCAGTAACAAAATCTAAATCCTATTTTTTTGGTAACAAATTTTGAGATTTTTATGGCAAATTTTAATCCCATTTTTTTCGTATCATATTTTTTTTTTTTACCAAATTTTGGTAACAAATTTGGAGATTCTTATGCAAAATGTGTCGATTATTTATGAAAACAATTCTAAATACAAGTTAATTTAAAAACCGTGCAAATTGGATACAAATTTAAGAAGTAAATAGTTGTATAATTCTTCCAATCTTATTGAATAATTTTTTCTTTAAAAAAAATTGTGTAAATTGGATAAAGCCACGTGCAATTTTTATTTTAAAATAAAACTAATATTTAGATGGGATGTACATTCAAAATTGTGTCCACATTTTTTTACAACAAAAGCGGTTCATCATTGATATTTAAAGTCACTTTATCCAATTATTTAGGAAAAATTGTGTGCAACTTTTCAAAATTTAAATGCATCGATTTTTTTGAATTCTTATGTTTTTTCTTAACCATGTTTTACCGAGATTTTGGTAAGTTCATATCATTTTTTTTTTGGTTAAGTTCATATCATTTTCTTTAGGAAATAGACAGTTGCATAAACATTAACAATTTATTTAAATTTTTTATTAAAATTATTTTCAATTCATATTGTTTGGTATGTATAAAAATCGGTGCAATGTTAGGAAAATTCGGTTGCATTTTTAGGAAGAATTGATGATTCTTTTATTTGGTTTAAAAAAAATATTCGGATCAATTGTTTGATAAAAAAATTAGTTTTTTGGTAGGAAAATCGGTTTCATTTCCAGGAGTAACTAATGATTCTTTTAAATTTTTCTTAATTGAAATTTAGAATTAGATTTAAAATAAATAATGGGTGAAAATTCCTAAAAAGTTCTACTTTTGTTTCTACTTTAATTTTGTTTAATAAATAAGATCTTTTAATTCTTTTAATATTTATTAAATAATAACTAATAATATGCAATTTTGGATAAATTCGAACACCTATGTAGTACTTTACGTGCCAAAGAATCAAATCAATCAAGTTGTAAATAAGGAAGTGTTTAATAACATATAAATTTCTTTTTCATGAAATTTTTAATGGCATGAGACAATTTAAATATAAAAATACCTTTTAAAAATAAATAGGTAATAATTGCGCCCGTACATCGCACGGGTACCATACTAGTATAGATAAAGCCCCACACAATTCAAAGATTCTCATAACAGTCGCCCAACAACCTCTCCTCAAATAAAAATAGAAACTGACATAATATTAATATTTTTATGTGTATAGACTATAGATATTGTTCTTTGTCTTAAACTACATAAATATTATTCTGCATTTTAAATGTAGGTAGACTATTTGGTTATCATATTCATGTACTCATAATGTAACTCTAATTTTTATAGATATCCATAATCTAGGCCTCGCAGCTGGAAAAATATTTAAAAAAGTGACAATATTATTTTTTCTTTTCCTTTTGGTCAACGACACAACGACCAGGTCCTATCTCGATAAAGTGAAAAAATAATTGAAAAAATGGAACGTAGTGTCAAATACTATCTTTTCTTTTTATCGGTAAAATAATTTTTTTATAGATCAAAACTGATGTTACATCGACCATCACACGACATACAAAAGGAAAATGAGTTGTTCACAGTCGGTTGCTCAACTCAAACAAAAATGACACCCTAAATCAAAATGAAACCCTAATCAAAATGATTATAGATCTAATCATGCATACCGTGTCAAATACTATCTTGTTTAGTATGACAAAATACTTGAATAAAAATAGACTTAAAAAATAATAACAATTTTTATTAACAATCTACTAGTGCAATAGTTTGATTTCTCCTACTTGTAATATGCACATTCATTCGTTGATGTGACAGAAGATTAAGAATGTATTATACACATAGTTGGTATAATATTTAAATATCATGAAATTTTAACTTGTGACGAGTGGACATATTTTAATATGTTGATAATTGATAGGTGTATATTTCCAAATAATGTAATTCACCATAT